CAGGTAGCTTCAGTTGGCATGACAGAAGCGGCAGTCCCTCGTTCCTGTGATCTGGACTTAACTCTGCTGAAAGTAATCTTGTCAGCTCAGTCTCCAAGTAGTGCCCTAGTAATGGGAACAGGGACTGTCTTGGACATGAACTCAGTGGCTGGCTCTTGGATCACCTCCCCCTGATGGGGGGGAGCAGCCTTACCAGGCCACAGAGGAAGACAAAGCAGCCAGTCCTGATGAGACCTGATAGGCTAGGGTCAGATGAAAGGGGAGGAGGACCTCCCCTATAAGTAGACTTGGGGAGGGGCAGGAGAGGAGAGGAGAGAGGAAGGGTGGGATTGGGAAGGAATGAGGGAGGGAGCTACAGCTGGGATACAAAGTGAATAAACTGTAATTTAAAAAAAAAAACTTTAAAATTATAAAGCAAAAGAAAGAAAGTAATCCTGTCAGGAACCACACTGTGATCTCATTAGCAACCCTTGGAATAGAATCATTTATTTTCTTGTTGTTTGTTTTTGTTTTTTGAGACAGGGTTTCTCTCTGTGTAGCTTTGACTGTCCTGGACTCTCTTTGTAGACCAGGCTGGCCTTGAACTCACAGAGATCTGCCTGCCTCTACCTCTCAGAGTGCTGGGATCACAGGCATGCACTACCCCGTGGAGAATCATTTCAAACTCCACCCAGAGTCTATTCTTGGCTCTCTGTGGCCGCGCTCTGGAATGTGTCTTGCCTTCTCCTGGAGTGCCTCTTTCTTTCTCTTAACGCTCGTGTTTAAAGTCTGTTTATGTTGTCTCCTAGCGCTGGTGAGGTAGTTCAGCTGGTGAAGGCGCTGACTGCCTTCATCACTCACTCCAGAGCACCTGAGTTGCGGTTCTGTGCCTCTGTGGCTGGGGCCTACACCTTGGCTGGGTTTTGGACCTCCCCGGGCTTGGCATTGGGCCTCCAAGCGCTTTCTTATGATCCTTGCCATCGCGACTATTATCTGCACATGTTTGTAGGTCCAGGGACTATGATGCGCATTCGGAGGCCAGTGCTGGGGATGAGCACCTTTAACCATTAAGCTCTCTTGCAGACCCCTGGATGCCTACTAGCAGTGACTGTGCATGAATCAGTTTTAGCTTCTTCCTCCAGGAAGTCCTCTGTGAACACTGTGGCTTCTTTAATCCTTTGTAGTCACTGGACAACCTACATTGACAAAGCGACGTTGAAGTGAAGCCAAGTGGGAAAGACTGGAAAAGTTCCCAGATATGGGAAGAAAAATGAGCCCCTCACCCAGCTAACAAAATTATCTATGAGGAATGCCTACAGAATCTGCTGGTGTTTGAGACAGGCTCTCCACTCTGTTGACCTAAAATTTGTGACAATTTTTCTGCTCCAGCCTCCAAAATGCTAGAATTACAGGCATGAGCCATCATGCTCAGCTAGAATTCTCCTTATAGACATAGTTCAAGCAAGGATGCTAAAATATCAATGAATCACGTTTCTACCCTAACATATAGAACCTTTGGATTTAACTTTTTTCCTTTCCGGTCAATAGGCCTGTAGCTTTCTAAGAATCAGGAAAACAAAGTAGCAAGCCTTGTTCACAGTCAAACACATATTGACTTCCTTGTGACCTCTTAGAACAATGACTTCTCTGACATTTAGATCTGGTTTTATCTTGTCCACCTGTAATTACCCAGTGCACTGGAGAAACCACCCCTGGCCTTATTAAACTCCTTACATCAACATGAGAATACAGTGATGCTTAATCTTAAAAGCCTTTGGGCATCATGACTGCAGGAAGCGCTAAGTCCATAAATGTAGCCGTCCTTGGCATTCTGCTGAGAAGCTCCTGCTGCTCTAGGCACATGCTGCCCCTAGACTCTCAGCGTGGCTCTGGGGGTAAAGGTACTTACCAGCAAGCCTGAGGACCACGTGCTCTCTCCAGAACCTTCATGGTATTGGAGAAGAGACTCCTGGAAGTTGTCCTCTGACTTTCACACACGTGTCATGGCCCATATATGCCCCTCAACAAAATAAATAAACATCAAAAAATGTTGGGAGAGAAAAATCCCTCTCCCGGTTAAATCTATATTAAAACTCTTGCTCTCCCTTTGTGTGTGTGTGTGTGTGTGTGTGTGTGTGTGTGTGTGTGTGTGAATGGGCACACTCAAGTGTGCTGTGGAGGTGAACACTGTACATCTTCAGTCATTTCTACACTTTACGTGTGTGTAGTGCACACGGAAGTGTCTGTTGGGCATCCAGCTCTATCCCTCTGCCTTGTTCTCTTGAGATGGGCTCCCCCAGAGCATGAAGCCTGCGGGCTCTTGGGCTAGGCTGCCTGCCAGCCAGCCAGCTCCACTGATCTCCCTGTTTGCTCCTCCAGCACCAGGATTACGGATGCACACAGCCATGTCTGGCATTTTACAGGACGCGGGGGGACTCAAATTGGGTCCTGGCGCTTATGCACAAGTGTTCTGCCCACTGAGCCATCACTCTAGCGTCTTCACCTCTCGGTCCCTCTCTGAACTGGAGCTCATGGGCTAAACTGGCTAGCCAGAAAGCCCCAGAGGTCTCTACTCCCCCAGACCTGGCGTTAGAAGTCTGCTTTTCATATGCACACTGGAGAGTCTTACACACAAATCACTTCCTGGCTGAGCCATTGCCCTGGCCCCAAATTCTCTTTTAATAAATTCTAACTTTGGGTTGTATTGACTAGTCCTGAAAGCCTGTTCTGTGATGCAATAATCCCAGCAGTCCTAGAATCTGGGAGGCAGAGGCAGGCAGATATCTGTGAGTTCAAAGCCAGCCTGGTCCACATAGTAAGTTCTAGGCTAGCAAGGGCTATGTAGTGAGACCTGGTCTCCAAATAAATAAATAAAACTAGAATTTCTAGTGTAGGTTTACATACATGCAATTCCAGCATTTGGAGGTGAAGGCAGGAAAAGTCATTCTTACCTATGTAGTGAGTCCCAGACTAGCCTGGACTTCAAAACAAAGTAACCAAAGAATCCTAGCACATTTGATTGGAGGTTATAGCAGGAACCCAGACTGCAACACAGGCCTCTCAATCACAAGGGCTCACTCCAGTCCAAATCAGGCACTAAATAATCCATGTCATTGGCCACGTGGGCATGGGGACACCTAGAGACCTTTGCTTCCCAAACAGAGAACACACATGTTCTCTGTGCTCAGGAACACAGCACATGTCTGCTAGTGCTCCTGCATGTGACCAAGAAGTCACACAAACAGCCAACAAGCTTCAGAAAGAGCCCACAGAGCCAGCTAAGCCATGCATGACACAAGGCCACAGGATGGAAATTTAGTGCATACTCTCAAATGCTACTGAATAAATTGCAAATGATCTCAAAAACCACAAAAAACCTCAGGGGTGAGATACAAAATACCACAGTCGCCTGGCAGAGAAGGCAGCAGTCAGACAACATGCAGAGCGGCTCCCAGAGGAGACAGGGCAGGGATTCCACAGGGCTGTGAGTATTGAAGAAGCCTGGACATGTTGGGCCTGAGAGCACACGGAACCTCCAGAAAGCCCGTGGACATCCACGCTGGAGAGAGAGCTAACTGTGGTGGTGCACACCCTTAATCCCAGCCCTCGGGAGGCAGAGATGGACTGATCTTTGTAAGTTCTAGGCCAGCCTGCTCTACTTAGTGAGGTCCAGGTCAACCAGGGCTTCATAATGAGAAAAATGGAAAAGAAAAGAAACAGATAAGGAGCGATAAGAAGGAAGCTGGCATGGGGACGTCACTGTGCGGGTGGAGTTATATCCGGCTTGTAAAGGCCCAAGCTGGTTTCGCTTTCCTGGTGTGTGAGCACTTTAGGAGGAAATAAACTTAACTAACTGCAAAGGGCATCTCTGTGGGTTAGACGCTGGGCATCCTCAGCCGCCCCTCTGCCCCTCACCACAAGGAGCTCTTGCTTCACAGGCCAGAGACCTCTCTGACATACAAAGACCATGGTGGTCCCTCAGGCAGGATGCAGCCAGAGGAGAGAAGAAGAAAGGCAAAGGTCACTAGGATGTAGTCCCAGGGACAGGGGCAAGGGTATAGAGGCCAGGAAGGCAGCTATCATTGGATTCCTCTCCAGTGCGTGTGTGTGTGTGTGTGTGTGTGTGTGTGTGTGTGTGTGTGCGCGCATGTGTAGAACCTGCGAGGCTGCTGCCTGGCCACAGGGCCCATGTGGTAGCTGGGTCCATGCTCACACAGTTCTGGCTCTCTTGGGCTTCGGCTCTTTGTTTTATCTGCCGACTCGCAGTAACTTACTGCTCTGAAGGAACACGGAGGACACAGTTCTCTCTGGTCAGCTCTGCACTCTGAGCTCCTGGCCAGTCTTCCAGGGCCAGCGTGTCTCTAGGAACGTCTTCTCACTTCCTGGATGCCTGTGAAGTTCTAGAAGCTCTGCCTGTGGAACAGCTGGTCCCCACAGTAGGCAGTCGGCTTCCTCCAGCCTGGAGCTCCCAGAGCTGTGGTCTTCCTCCTTTTCTCTATAATTTGTTGGGGCACCAGGGTCACCTTCTCCAGGGCTTGGTCACCATTGGTCTGCAGACAATGTGGCCTCTTCTTATTTGTCCCTGTGCCAGCGTGCCAAGCTGAGGTCTTGCCTTAGCGTCCACTGTGCTCATGCGCAGGTAGATACTCTAGGCGCAGGTCTCGCCCAGCTCACAAAGCCACTCGGGAAGGAAACAAGCCCTCTTCAGACGCACCCACTCCATCTCCTGCCCACACATGTCTTGCCCAGGGCCCCCCTTTGCGTCTCTGGCCATGGACTCCGCCTCCCACTGTCGGTGAGGAAGTTCACAGAGCAGAGATTGAGCCGACCCCACAGCCCTGCCAGGCCTCAGGAGGCTGCAGCTGAGCGCAGAGGCGGGTCAAGATGTGGACTACAGCAGCCCTTCCTTCCAGTGGCGGCAGCGGACGGCAATCTGCTTCTCACTGTGAGGCTTCTCCAATGCCACCCTGCGGCAGGCTGCAAAACCTCTTTGCAAGGAGCAGGTGTCAAATGCCTGCAATCGCCTGCAATCGGGACCTTTTCCAGGTGGAGCCTGGCTTTGTCGACAGACAGTAGGATCCTGGTGAGGACCTACAGAGCAGACAAGCCCTGTTCTGTGCTTTGCAGCCGGTTGACAGAGGATGTTAGCCCCTGAACCTCCTGCTGCCCACTCCATCAAACGCCTGCCACACACCCCAAGGGGGTCCACACGGACCAGGCTGCTCACACAGCACCCCAAAGAGCAGCCCCTGAGCCCTGAGCCAAACACGGGCTCCAGCCAAGGCTTTCCTAGAAAAAGCCTGGACCTTCCTATAGTGTTCCTGAGATGCAGCCAACACAGGGCTTCTAGTCAAAACACGAACGACAGAGTCACTAAAGTTCTGTACGTTAACTCAGAGTAGTTCCTGAAAGTTGAGACTTCCTACACAGAGCCTGGCAGATGGGAAGGGCCAACAGGACAGGATGGTATGTGCTGCCTCTGCTAGCCCCTCCCCCTAAGCTTTCAGTTTTTACTGTCTGGGGCCAGCAAGCCCAGACACCCGGACAGCGCAGCTGGGGCAGCCGGGGCAGCCAGAGAGAGCTCGCTGCAGAAGGAGCAGGTGAGAGACCGGGCCTGCAGGAGCAAGGACTTGAGGCCATCCAGATGCTCTGAGGGCTGAGGGTTCTGTGTGTTGGGAATGGCTGCCTCAGAAAAGAGACGAGCAAGGGCAGAGCTGGGCCATCAGGAATCAGGAGACACGGGCAACAGGGTCAGGGCTGTGGTCAGCATTCAGCAGGACCTGTGTGTCTTCAGATGCCTCAGGCTTGGTTCAGGGCGAGCAAAGGCGGGCCATAGTTCTCCAGCTTTCACTGAGTGGCCAAGGAGGATGGCGTCCTCTGTGCCCTCTGCACAGGTGTGGCAGAGGATTTGGAGGGCAGACACTGGGCTGCAGGCCTGTTGCTCACCCAGTCCTGCAGATTCCTGTGTGTGGATTCCTTTATGTAGGGTCCTGAGCTCTGCCTGTGCTCAGATACACACCCACCCACGTGCACTCACAGCGCACACGCGCACACGCGCACGCGCGCGCACACACCCACACGCACGTGCTCCAGCCAAACCCCTGGGTGCTCAGTTGCTTCCTCCTCTCTCCCTTCCATTTCTTCCCTGAGAACATCACTCTCTGACCACCTCCCACTTCAAGCTATATCTGCAGCTTGACAGACACGTCATCTGTCTTAGGAATCGGAGTTCCAGCGAAGAAGCCAGGGCTGAGCCTGACTCCCGCAGGCAGCTATGCTGTGTTTCTGCAAAGCGAGGCCCTGAAAGAGGCTGGGGTCCTTGCAGGGATGGGGTGGAGCTCTCTGTGCCAGCTACCCTTCCTAGCCACATGCCACTGGACATAAGCCCCGTGGGGCCTGGCACTGAGGGGCACACACTGGGCCGCTCACATGAGGGAAGTGCTCTTCCATCCTTCAGGTGGCATCTGAGCTAGGGTCCCCTATGCTTCTCACTGGGCTACGCTGTAGAGGGCCAGCGGAAGGCCAGCTTCTGGCCTCCTGTTCACGGGTCTGTGACCCTGGGCTTTCACTTCTCCACCGGGCAGAGCAGGATCTGTGGCCATAGCTGAGAGGGCCTCCAGTCAGTGGCTAGCCCTCCCTGGGCAGTATTTCCGTCCGTACCTCTAGGCAGTAGGGACCTTGGTCTAGCCTCTGCCTGGAACCAGGTCGTGGAGCTGGGTGCCTCTCTGTCTCTGAAGGGACAGCTTCAGGCAGTAAAGAGCCTGGGGCTGAGGAGACAGAACTCTAGTGATGGTCAGGAACAAAGGTGTTGTCCCTGAGGCCAGGAGTTCTTCAGTGGCCTTCAGAAGGGACCCAAAAAAGTTCAGGCCAGTGCAGCAGAAACCTCTGTGACAAGACTGTGGCGTTGGCCAACCTGGAAGTGGCTCTAGATAGACCTGCAAAAGCCCCAGCGTAGAAGACACAGTGGTGTTGAGCCCAGGAGATGTGCCCAGCAGGACTCCTGCCACCGAAGGACCCAGTGCAGTCCCCTGCCCCGCTGCCACCTCCTGCCCCAAGGTTTCATCTGCTGAAGAGGAGGCAGGTGGGAAATAGAGGAGCCAGAAGTGGCCTGTCTCCCTCCGGACAAGAGGTGGCGAGACTGAGGTTAATATGAGAACCAGCCCCGTACGCAACCCAGGTTTGGGGTGCAACAGCGACAGGGCCCACTTGTCAGCAGCTGCAGGTCTGAGAGCGGAAGGAAGGCCGGGGACCTAGCAACCCACCGCTTAGGAGGGTGTGTCCTGGTGAAGGTTTCAAGTGGAGAAAGTGTTCCTGTCTCAGGGAAAGTGTGAGGTGGATCTCGGCAGAGGTGGAAAGCCCCTGACAGAGCTGCCACACCTTCCTAGACGTTTCCGGCCAGGCAGGCTCCCAACAGACAGGATCCTGGAGAACTGGTTATGTGAAGCCTGATGCTGGGAGGTAGCACTGCGCACGGGCTGCACTTGTAGGCTTCGGAGTAGGTTCTGGCAAACCCCGGTTCTGAGGAAAGAAGTTACAGGCTAGATCACTGATCTGGCTGGGAAACAGATCTAGAGGAAGAGAAAAACCAAGGAGGGGAGACTGTTTGGCCAGGTGCGAAGCCAGATGTCAACGCTGCTTGCTGAAACCGTACAGGTGGGTGCCGACGGGGGGGCCAGGGGCCTGGGCTCGGGGCTCTGCGAGCAGTGGACAGCCCGTCCTGCTTAACCCGCATCTCACTGTCTCGTAACGTGCTGTCCGAGGTGGACTCGAGCGCTCAGCTTCAACGTGACTTCCAGGAAAACCTTGCAAAAGAGTCTCTCTCTCTCTCTCCCTCTCTCTCTCTCTCCCTCTGTCTCCCTCTCTCTCCCTCTCTTTCTCTCCCTGTGTGTGTGTGTGTGTGTGTGTGTGTGTGTGTGTGTGTAAGAGAGAGAGAGAGAGAGAGAGAGAGGGTGCACACTCATGGGGGAATGATATGTACACACTTGTGGAAGGTGTTGCCCCTCAGCGCTGTGAGCTTCGCTTTTCTGAGCCGTGGACTCTCCTTGGCCTGGATCTTACCAAGTAGACTGGGCTGGCCAGCAAGCCCGGGGACCTTCCTGTTTCCAATTCCCCAGTGGCAAGATTATAACTGTGCCACCATGCCTGGCTTGTTTTCTACTAAGAGATTTTACTCTTGTGTATATGGGTGTTCTGTCTGCGTGGATGTCCGAATGCATGTTTTGGACTTGGGTGCCTTGTGCCCTTGGAGGCCAAAGGAGGCCACTGGCTCCCCTGGAACTAAGGTTATGGCATAGTGCAAGTCAGCATGCTGGGACTCAAACCTGGGTCCTCTGGAGACCAGCACGTGTTCTTAACTGCTGAGCCATCACTCCAGGCCCCATCCCTGACATTTTATTTTGTTTTTTGAGACAGGGTTTCTCTGTCCTAGAACTGGCTTTGTAGACCAGGCTGGCCTCAAACTCAGAGATTCACTTGCCTCTGCCTTGAGTGCTGGGACTAAAGGTGTATGCCATCATGCCTGGCTAATAACCGACCTTTGGGTGTGTGTGGGGCAGGAGGTGCCAAGACTGGGTTTCTCTGTGTAACTGCCCTGGCTGTCCTGAAACTCACAATAGACCTGGCTGGCCTTGAACTCACAATACCTCACTTTTTAATGTAAGTCTACGTGTCAAACTCAGGTTCTCTTGATAAGCACTTTACCAGCTGAGCCATCTCTTCAGCCTCTGGTAAACATTTTAAAGCTAAAACTTGAAGCTTTGAAAGAAAGAAAGAAAAGAAACAGACAGGAAGTGTCCATGTGTAGAGTCTTCTGATGTCTGGGAAAAGCGAAGAGAGAGGAATGGGCAAGGAAGGAATTAGAGCACAAACATCTCATAAGCCAGTCAGAAGCCAGATAATCCCGACAAGGCTTAGCAAGGGTGGCGTGCAAAAGAGGAGGCCTCCAGGAGCAAAGAGTCCTGGGAAGTGAGCTCCGCTGTGAGCCCACGATGTGTGGAGGGAGCAGCGGCGAGCACAGCGGACAGATCCAGGAAGGAGAGCACCCAGGACAGGAGAGTCTCAGACTGTCTCCATGTGTCTGGGTGTGTGTGATCACACCAGCCGGGCGAGGCTTCGGGGATTGAGGGCGACGAAGGCAGGACCAAACCCGGGTGCTTACGCTTGCCAGACAGGTTCTCTCCAGTAAACCCCCAGCCTCAGGGTCAGAATCCTGGGTCTTAAGATGACCCCAAAGCACAACTCACAACTGCGGGCATTTATTCTCTCCTAGGCCTGGGTGCCAGGCATGGAGGCCATGATCCTGTACCACAGTGTACGGGGTGGGAGGGTCTGTTTGTCAGGGCACCCGGGACACTGGACTGTGGGCTTGTGGCCACGCCGTCTCATCCCTCGGTGCCAGGCAGCCTTCACCACTGTGCCCGTGCGTCTACATTCCTTCTTCTAAGAACCTGATCCTCCTAGATACGGCTCACCAGATCCAGTACAGCCTCATTCTGACCACTGGCATGGCTTAATTCCAAAGAAGGTCACAGTCTCTCAGTAGACATGCATCTTGGAGGACCAGCGCTGTGACAGGGAGAGGCCAAGGGCAGAGAGAGCGGTTCTAACGCAGCTTCTCGGTTTTACAAGGTCCCGGCTTCTCGCGGCTGCGTCCACCTGGCGGAGTCTATCAGATGCATGTCCTTGCTTCCTTCTTTGGGAAAGGCGTGGAGGGAAGTGTGGTAGTGAGGAGGCAGAGCCTCAGTCTGCAGCTCAGGCTGGCCTCAAGCACGGGAAAGCTTCCTGCCTCAGCCTCCCGGAGTTGGAATAACAGGTGTAGGCCCCGGGACTCATACTCTCTTAAAGGAGCGAGTGGTTTAAGCAGACTACCCTTCTTGCAACGATAACTCAGAAATAAGAAAAGGGACTCGAGTGGCAGCACACACCTGTACCGCAGAGCTCGGGAGGCTGAGGAGGGAGGACCTCAGGTTCAAGGCTGCCTGAGCGACACAGGAAGACCCTGTCTAACAAAGCCAAGCCAAGCCCACTACTGTTGGACCCGAGGCTGGCCCTCGGTGCCGTGCTGTGCAGTGGGGACTGAGGCACCCCAGATCTGCAGGCCTCTGCCTCCGCAGGGCCGAGATTACAGGCACGCAACAGCACGCTTATCTGGCAAAAGTTCTAAAACAAGGCAGAAACAACACCTGCTGTCCTGAACTCTCAGCTATTCCTATGAACGTCCTGGCCCCTCATAAGGACACAGACCCGAGGTCAAGGTGATAGCTGCCGCCCTGGAGCAGCTTGGGACATGGCTGTTGGAGGGAGCCCCTCACCTTGCCCGGCCTGCTCGCAGAGCGCTGGGGGCGTGCTGCCCATGAAGCGGCAGGTGAAGCAGCAGCCGTGCGAGTCAGGGCGGAGGGCGAGGGGCTGAGCACAGCCTAGGGCAGGGATTTGAGGCTTTGGGGTTTCACTCACACACCCCGAGGCGGGGTGCTCATCTCTGGGATGGATTTGTCCAAACGAAGAAGGAACCCTGTGTGGGCACTATAAGTCACTCAGGTGTGGTGGTTCTGGCCCATGATGCCAGCACTTGGGAGGTTGAGGAGAAGAGATAGCGAATCTAAGGTCACTCTGAGCTACATAGTAAGATACTGTCTAAATAACTAAACAAACAAGACAAGTAACTCACAATGTTCCCTGCGTGACCCCGTTCCCTTAAGAAGTGCATCCCAGGTGGTGGCTAGTTCCAGTTCCGGGGAGAACTGCACGGGAAAAGCACACGATACCTTGGCTTGGTCCTGCTCCCTGCTGCTTCCTGGACTGGCCCATTGCTTTACCACAGCCGATGACACACAGGGCAGGGCAGGACAGAGCAGGAGGGGCTGGGCGCTGGTGACTCAGTGTCCCCCAGAAGCTCAGTATCCTGGCAGGGCTGGACACAAGCTCAGAGATCCTGGGCTGTACCCCTCAGCAGGCTAGGACTGCTCCCCGAGGCTCTACGGCCGACTCAGTGGAGACAAGCGCAAAGACACTGGGCTGTCCACCCTCGAGGAGGCTAGGACTGCTCCCTCAGTCTCTGTGGAGGCTTCAATGGGCCTCTGACCTCTGTACTTCCTTCTTCCAGGTTGTTTCCTGACAGCTGGAGAGGCCAGGCGTCTCCCAAGGCCTTCCATTTCACTGACTGGCCATGCTGACCTGCTCCTTGGCGTCCACTGCCCCTATTCCCACGCTGTTTGGCATCCTGCTCCTGGCTGTTTCTCTGAATGCGCAGAATAAAAGTAGGTCTGGGTCTTCTGTCAGAGGGAAGGGTCCAGACAGGGTGGGAAGGACATAGCAAGGCCAGACCCAGGAGGACCGCCACCTAGCAGACGCCGGTGCCCCTTGGCGGCGGAGTGTTGCCTCTGAGCATGGCTGACAACAAGGGGCCGCCGCACCGGAGCTGGTGGTAGAGCAGTGGCAGGGCTGCCCAAAACTCCACCCGGCCAGGAAAAGAGGGGCCCTGGGGAGGCCGCGGGGCCCACAGACTGCCCAACCGCCGCTGCTACCCCCAGCCTGCCCCACAGCCGGGGCACCGCCTGGACCCTTAGGCCAGCACACGCTCAGGAGGCTCAGAGCAGGCACAGAAAAATGGGGTCCTGGGAGCCCCCCAACCTAGCTCTTCAGCTCTGACATCCCCAGTGAAACCCCCGCCATTCCATTCCATCCACACAGCGTGTGCCCGCTTTTGACCCCGTCAGTGGGAAAGGTCTCATTCCGTCCCTGGGAAGTCCTGACTCCTGCCTCTGCCCATGGCCTGCAGGAGCAGCCAGCACCTGTCCTGCGGGGCTCATGCTCGGCCGTCCTCTCCACACAGGCTGGGACAACCCCGTGTGCACCAGCGGCACCCTGTCTGTGCCTAGAGGCAGCCGCGCGGTGATGAGCTGTGGCATCTCTAACCTCTTCAAGGATGTCACTGTCTGGCTGATTGCCCATGGAGAGGAAAGGACCATCTTCAACAAGACGCGCCAAGGATGCTTCTCTCAGAGCGGGTGGGAGCTCCGGGTTCAAGGGGGCCAGGCACAGCTCGTGATCGAAGACACCCAGGACGTCCACGCAGGCCTGTACCTGTGGGGCCTGCATGGGCGCCAGAGATATTACAGCAACGTCACCCTGAGTGTTTCAGGTGAGGCGAGAGTGGTGGCAAGAGGAGGCGAGAGGGGAAGGAGACCAGCCTGTGGATGTGGCGGAGAAGAATGGAGACTGGAGGGACAGGAAAGAGGGCGGGGAGGCAGACTGTGGCCTTTCGGAGGACCTCAGAGTGTCCTGAGGTGTGGAAAGGGCCTCCACTGTCCAGAGCAGAAGCCCGTCTGGGGTGGGCCGGAAGCAGCTGAGGCCCATACACCCCTCTTTCCCTGCCACCCTCCAGCCTGTCACACATCAGCTGTGGGAGTGAAATTGCAGCCCAATTTTGTGTTCTGGGAGTTTCCAGCAAGATCCAGCCACTGTCTAGTCAGGACACTCACACGGTACCTACCACTGAGATCACACAGAGGTCCAGAACCCTGGCCGCCTTAGCTGAGCACAGAGGGAGGTACTTACACGGCCGTGACCCTGCCCCCCCATTCCCACCACGGAAGCTTTGTGCACCTTGTGGAAATCAAGTTCAGCCAAGTGTGACACGATCCCAGCACTTGGGAGGCAGTGGAGCCCGAGAATCATGAGTTCAAGGCCAAACCTTGTCTCAAAATAAGAACCGAAGAACAAAGTCTCCACAGGCTACCGCCTTCCCTCTATCTGATAAGCCTCCTGTCTGTACCTGGACCCTCTCCCCAGGACCCTCCTCAATCCTCCAGCCTCGCTTCCTGCCAGAACTGCTTAAGTTCTGCTGCTATGACAAGCTTCGTGACCAAAGGCAGCTTAGGAGAGGAAAGGGCTGGTTTCCGTTTATGAGCGATGTCGGTCATGGAGGGAAGTCAGGGCAGGGACTCAAGCAAGAACGTGAGTCAGAAACCGAGGAGGAAGCGGGTGTGATGACACACCTTTATTCCCAGCACTCAGGAGGCAAAGGCAAGTGGATCTCTGTGAATCGGAGGCCAGCCAGGTCTCGCTCATCGCTGTTTCGGTCTCTCTCCCCTTTCTCTGTTGGGGCGCCCCCCATCCAATTCTATATATCCTATATATGTATATATATATTATATGAAAGAGTTCTTATATACATATATATGTAAGAAAAACAAGTCCAGGACATCCAGAGAAACCTGTCTCAAAACACCCCCTACCACAAAAAAAGAAAGGAAACCATGGAGGATGCTGTTCACTGGCTTGCTAACCTTCCTTTTCCTTCTCTCTTTCCTTTTTCTCCTTCTATCTTCATTCCCTCCCTTTTTTGTCTCTCTCTCTCCATCTGTCTTTGTGTCTGTTTCTCTCTGTCTCTGTCTCTTTCTCTCTTTCTACACATGGTCTTGCTTCCTGTCCTGGCTTGTCTGGAACTCACAGACATCTGCCTGCTGCCTCTTCCTCCTCAGCGCTGGAATTAAAGGTGTGCACCAGCTTAGCTAGGTCAGGGCGGCCTGCTCGGGGAATGGCGCCCTCCGTGCTGGCTGGATCCTACATCAGTTAACAGTCAGGACAACCGCCACAAACAGGCTCACGGTCAGACTCCCTTCTCGGGTGGCTGGATCATGCTGACCGCTAAGGCTGGGCAGAGCACGACCCTAGCTACTTTCATGATTCATTCAGAAAGCGAAGTAACTGCAGAACGCACCCCTTCTCCCCACACCCCCTGTGCCCCGATATCCCCCCAGAGACCGGCACAGCCCCACGTGCTGTAAGCACCGTTCTTACTGCACCTAGAAACGGATGCTGCCCAGGCTGAAACCGCTGCCTACCCCACCCTGGCTGTGCCTGTAAAGACCCCGTGTCCATCTCCCTCTCCCCCTCCCCACACCAGCTCCATCGGTCACAATCACTGAGCCCCCGAGGGTGAGCCTGACGGTTCCTCCTGGGACCAGCCAGCTCTATGGGACTCCACTAACTGGATTTGGGGGTGCATTCACATATCGCTCAACCTGGTGGTGTGTCTCTGGCAGAGCCTTCACACGAGGACGAGGTGACTGACGTGAGGGTGTCCGAAGCCTCCACAGGTAGGTGTTGGAGCCGTGTCCCCAGGTCCTCAGCACTCCATGCTGACGCCATGGAGCCAAGCATGGCCCCTTCACCCTTAGCCCTCTGTGCTGCCCAGCAGCTGTCACTGGCCGGGAGGGTGCGGGTCAACAGTGGGGAGAGCAGGGCTGTGGGCCAGTGAGGGACGTAAAATAGGACCAGTGGTGAAAAGCCTCACTCCTCACCACTCCTGACCCACTTCAGAAGATCCAGCCATGAGCTCTCAGCTAGAGGCCCGGCCTAAGACCGTTGTGGGAATAGTGATTACCGCCATCTTGATCTTGGGACTCGCAGGGATCAGCGCACTTGTCTGCTACAGGCACCATTGTTCCTGGGAGCCCTCGTGGGTGCGTACCTCAGCCTTGACCCGATGTGTGGGTGGTCTTCCTGGGACCCTTATGGCCTCTACCCTGAGTTCTGCTGAAAAGGGGCTCAGAGGGACTGTGGAGGCCACACAGGACCAAAACAGCAGGTCCCCACTGCATGCACTTTTTTTGGTCTGGTGTGGCCAAGAATGTACTGAACTACCGGGCCTGCAAGAGCCATCTGTGCTCAGGGCTTTCTTTTTGACCCTGGAACACTTTGGAGAGCAGCATGGAGTCTGTTGCCTGCAGGATCCTCGCAGGACTCTCGGGAACTTGTGTTGGGAGGGGACCCGTGGTCTCTGACCCAGAGTGTTTCAGGCCTGGGGCGCCCAGGAAGTAAGCCCATGCCAGGCTTAGAGCTATGCCAGGCTCCTCTGGGATGAGGGTGGCTCATCTGTGCACACCTGTGCCTGTGTGGACACAGGTCTGAGCTCAGGGGTTCAGCCGCCCTCTCTCCTTTCGTCTCTCCCTGTCTAGATGAGGCGGTTCTGACACTGTGGCCAGAGGAAGCTGAGGGGAGCAGCCTGCAGAGCTGATTCCAGAGAGAGGCCGCCGGTGTGGGCTCCTCGTGTTCGTGCCCTCGGAGGCTGCTCCGACCTTCGGGAAGCCAAATGCTGTGGAGTCATTATTATACGCTGGGCAGAGCACAGAAGGCCTTTCCTGAGGGCTGAGGAGGCGACTCACTGAGGAAGGCTATCTGGGCAGGTCTTGGTCACGTGAACAAGAGTACAACCTCCTGACCATGGTCTTCATCAGATCTCCTAGCTCTTTCCGAAATGGGGGTCTCCAAGCTGCACGGTTCTTGACTCTCAGCACCCCCACCTTTGGCTCCTACAAAGCCTGGCCTCCCTCTCTTCTGCTGAGCCTCTGAGGTCTACTACTAAAGATCTCCTGTACAAGGCTCAGGCTGCACCAAGATTTGCTTCAAGTAGAACATGGGCCCACAGCTGCTTTCTCACTCACAGTAGTAAGTTTGGGAAACCCAGATGTTGGGTTCCAGGGGCCAAAATAGGGAGGAGAGGTCTAAGATGGATCACCAGCCCACTCCTTCCACTGGAAGGCAGAGTGCCCTCAGAGACGGGTCTATAAGGGTGTCGGGGTGCCGCTTGGCAGGCATTGTTCTGGGGAACTCCCTGGGCCTCCCTTCAGCAGACCCCAGCCCTAGCTCCTTTGATTCAGATCCACTACCCCTGTTCTTTCTGACCTTTTGTCTTGATTACAATGTTGTTTTTCCTTTTATAGAGATTTAAAAAAGGAATTTTTGTAGAAATCTCATACTTAGTTTACTTTTAATTTATCACATTTGCAAAGGAAGTGCTTTACGGCCATCTCCTCACTGTCCCGTTCTCTTCCTCCCAAGAACCTTGGGTAAGGACCTTGGGTAAGTAACCTTGTTACTGGCAGCTCACCAGACCTTCAGCCCAGTCAGCTGAAAGTCTTTATTTCAGAGGGCTGGGGCCACACCAGGTATTTGGGAACTTAGGTGTGGCCCCGGGTGTCCAGAACACAGGGTTTTTACAGGCAGAGACCACACATTGGCATCTCTTGGCAGCTGCAGAGGCTTCACAGAAGTAAGCAGTTCGAAGCGAGCAGTTTTAACAAGCTAAACAAGCAGTTAAGCGGAGGGAGTCCTTACAAACAGTTGATCTAACAGATGCCAAGGAAAGTAGTTAGCTGGATGGGGTTTCGTACAAGCAACCAGGGTCCCAGCACGTCCTGACCTTGGGTTCAGGCCACCTGCAAAAACAGTTGTTAGTCAAAAGCATAAACATCTACCAGCAACCTCACCCACTGGTCCCTGAGTGAAACCGAGGCCAGGCATGCTGCCTGCTGCCTGTGGCCTCCGGGGCAAGCCCACATGAGACTGCAGCCTGTGCCCAGAAGGCTTCTCAGGTCAAAGGAAGGTGATCCACAGCACTGCAATGCCTGCTGGTAAGGCCCTGTGTTAGTTACTTTCCTTGTTGGAACAATATACCAGAAGCAAGCAACTTAGGGAAGAAAGGGTTATCTTTGTTTCAGTTTTGAGGACACAGTCTGTCACAGCGGGACAGGCATGGCAGGGAGTGGGAAGCAGCTGGAAGTACTGTGTTCACAGCCAGGAAGCAGAGACACCCAATGTGTGTGTTTGCTCTCTGTGTCTCTCTCTGTCTCTGTGTGTGTGTGTGTATCTTTGCCTCTCTGTGTCTCTGTCTCTCTCAGTTTTTTCTTTTTTTTTTTTAAGATTTATTTATTTATTATGTGTACAGTGTTCTGCCTGCATGTACACCTGTACACCAGAAGAGGGCACCAGATCTCACTATAGATGGTTGTGAGCCACCACGTGGTTGCTGGGAGTTGAACTCAGGACCTTTAGAAGAATAGCTGGTGCTCGTAACCTCTGAGCCATCCCTCTAGCCCCACCACGTACTTTCCAAACCAGTCAAGTGTGGTGATGCATAATGCTCCATCAAAGTCAGTTCTGAGCCTCTGCTGAGATGGGAAACCTTCAAAGCTGGTGAAGTCCCTCTGCCCCTGCAGCTACAGCAACCCTAGAAAGAAACTGAGTCAGAGGCTTCAACGCTCTCACTCCCTGTGGCTTGTCTTCTCAGGTTCTCTCTGCTGGGAAGTGAGTGAGTGCCAGCCCTGAAGAGCCTTGGTCCTGCACAGTGACACACACCAACTGTCATTAGCAAGAGAAGCCCACAGGAAACTCCATGACATACATGCTCTTCCTGCTCTCCTGCGGTCAGGGCCAGCAGGGGCTTTGACCCTGGGTCCAGACCCTCATCCTAGGAGAATGGCCTCTCTTGTGGTGTCTCCTGGCTGTCCCTTGTCCAGATGAACTTCCTTCGTGATTCCTAGGGCAGTCACAGCCTGGGGCGTCTTCAGGCCAAAGCCAGGTCTTGTCAATCAAGCCAGTGTTCAGTTCAGGAGACACTGCAGGTGTGAGAATATAACTCAGACCTAGAGGAAAAGACCCTGAAGACAGAGCTCCTGACTGGAGAGTCCTCAGTGCAGTCTGACCCCTACTCTACCCTCTGGAGGTCTTTCCTCCTGCTCTAACCCCGAGGCTCACTAACTCTCCATCAGCAACGGCCCAGGTCAGTCCACACGGGCTGGGAAGTACTCTGTTGGCCGCCTGGATGAGGAGGCACCTGTAGAACTCAGCTTCCCAAGGAGAAAACACACATGCGGCCCAAGGATGAGAGCCAAATCCACCGATGGCCCTGTGTGCAACCATGGAGTCACACATGCAGCCCAACAAGCACGAAAGACAAAGGGATGGTTGGAAAGATGTCTCCGTCAGTAAAGGGACCACTTTGCCAAAATGAGGACCCAAGTGTAAAAGTGGAGCGTGATGTGGGCAGTTATAGTCCCAGCACCAAGAAGGTGGAGGCAGGAGGCTCCCTGGACTCCCTGGCCAGCCAGGCCAGCCCACCTGAATCCAGGCCAGTGAGAGACCCCGCCTCAAAAAGGTGGGTGGTGTGCAAGGTAGGACTCTTGTTGTCTTACACACACACACATACATACACACACACACACACGCATGCACACTTTGCAGCTGAGAGGCCACCTCACTTATATTTCCCCTAGAGCCAAGGATCATCTGAGGCGAGGAGATAAAATAACAGGATAGAGGAGGAATGAACTGAGGAAGAAAAGCAGGGATCAGAAGAGAGGAGGACCCAGGGACCTGATAGAAAGAGCAGCCCAGGGTCCCAGTGAGGGTCCGCTGGCTCCGGGACCTCACCCTCCCAACAGGCGCTTCCTACTCTTGCTTTCAACTTTGATAAATGTTTGCCTTCACCTTTCTCTGAGTCTTTGATTTCTTTGTCCCTGGGTGTTCAATTATTTGGGAAGAACTCAGACACCAAGGCAGCTGGCTCATGTCCTGACACACACACACACACACACACACACACACACACACACACACTGTAAAGCCGCACACTGAAATGAAGGTGTGTGGGGCTGGAGAGCACTTGCTGTGGAGGGAATTTCCTCATCTCACCTGCACCCACACTGTGCTGTCTGTGTCACGGGCGCAGGGAGCAATAATTAAAAATAGGATTAAGCCACAAGAGGCCACAAGAAACAAACACCCAGCACGCCTAAATTCTCAGCGGATCCTGCTGAAGAGGTTGCGGCCTTGGAGCATAGGTCTCTGAAAACTCCACGGTGAGACAGGAGCTGTCACAGCCCCTGGCAGGGCGGCCCTGGTCAGAGGGCTGCAGAGGGTGACGCCTAGTGGACTAGGCAGAACACAGCATCTGTGTCCACCAGGGGCACTGCAGGACCGCTCCCACTGGAGACACAGACTCTCCAGGACCTAAGCGCATTGCACCTCTGAGCGCGGACACTAGAGTTGGGGCCGTCACAGGGGAAGACTTGAGTGTTCTTTTAGATAGATAGATAGATAGATAGATAGATAGATAGATAGATAGATAG